CGCTGGCGGCGACCCAGAGACTCCCATCTAGCACAGCCAAATTGATAGTAGAGTCGACAACCCCACAACAGGCGGAGTCTAGCACAGCCAAATTGATAGTTGATATGGTGATCCAGTTCTCAGTTTAGGGTTTTAACAAAAAGGCTATTTGCAGTGCATCCCCACAACAGGCGGAGTCATCGCCCCACGGGTATGTACCTTCAGAACACTGGCAAACGATAACTTAATCGAACCAAAGGAAAACTTGTGAAAAAGACTCAAAAAGTTAAAAACGGCCGAAAACAAGTTCCCATGGAGTCCTTCGGGAAAACCATTAAAATTGGAACGTAGCATGACCCCTGCAACAAAAAAAAAGAAGAAGAAAAAAGTTCAAAACCATGGAAAAGCTCAGCCTAGGACTCGGATCCCCAAACCAGGATGCAATCACTTTCATTTTTCTTGCGGATCGAGCTAAATGGCACCAGAAGGGCCAGAACCTAGCATGGGAAGCCCATTTTAAAAGAGGATATGATGAAATTGGTAGACAATGCTAGACATGCTTATACTCCTTTGAGGCAAAACCAAGTGGCCTAGACGTCAGAGCCTGCATGGGAAAATGCACCAACCAAATCTCCCAACCCCTAAAACTTCTCCCCTTGAACTCGTACCTCTTCTTCTAGGAAGATCCATTGACATCCTTCATGAGGACCTATCCATCAGTTCCTACCGCCTTCCCCCGAACACAATGTGCCCTCATTTTGACTGTATTGGGCCGGAAACATACCTTGTATACGTTCATTTTCAGGGTGTGTTATGTTCGGGGGAAGACTCTAGTGCTTCCTACCACTTATCCTTGTTCATCCTATAAGCCCACACCATCGACTACTAGTCTACATCGACATTATTCATCAGTACCTACCACTTCTCCTTGCTCAACATATAAGCTCACGCCATCGACCACCAGTCTCTTGCCATATTGTTTTCGAATGTCCCATAGTTCCAGTCTCAATCGGCTTCTGGCACCAGCCTGCAAAAACATCCGTCAACATCACAAGTGCTTCAGCTTCAAAGACAGACAGAATATATTCAAGAATTTGCATGAATTAAGACTTTAGTATTTTACTAAATTTAAAATTCAATATTTATTTCATAATAACTTACAAACTGCAAAAAGCCTAGGCTGAACTCCGGGCCGCCCGGCGGCTGGCTCATCGCCCGGGCGGGGGGCCGGGCCGCCTGGCCGGTCGTTCTGCCCGGTTGGCCACCGGGCGACCCCAGCGCATCATCGAGGGGGGGGGGGGGGGGGGGGGGGGCACCGACGGGGGCCCCCCCCCCCCCCCACAGGGGGCGGAGGAAAAAAAAAAAAAAAAAAAAAAAAAAAAAAAAAA